TATCGTTATTAAATAAATTTAATATCTATTGTTTATATAAAGTTTAAATGATGTGCTAATGCCGTTTTTTGTCATGTAAGAGGTCAGGGTATTAAGTAGATTTATTGGATTTTCCGTTTTGATTATCAAACCATTAACCGTAAACAGTTGATTTATGCAGCTTAATGCTAGCTGCCTGCATAATGCTGACTGTCGATATAACACTTGATATTGATTTTAGTGGCTATAATATCGATACAAAATAAATAAGTTATACGTAGTATAATATGAAAATGGCAGGTTCCAGGGAAGGTAGGGTTGGATCACGAATTGAAGTTTGCTGGCACTTGTTGATGTAGAATCGCACTCGTGCCTCCCATGATTCTCATCGCATCCCTTATTGAGTTAGAATTACTATATATGGGGGTTCCTTGAAGCCGAGTAGATTTTGCGAAAATTTGATAAACCCGGATCAGCCCGACGAAGAAAAAAAAGCGAAAAAAGAGAAAAATACAAGAAACGGCAGTCGGAACCCACTTATGTGCATTAATAAAAAATGTCAGGAGGGAAATTTTACCTATACTAACAGTTCTAACCCTAACGTGAAAGGACCCTAACCCTAATGTTAATAAAATAATGATTTTTCACGTAATCTACTCGGTTTTAAGGACCCCCTATATATGGAAGGTCATTTACATCTTTTAATCTTGATTATGTAGTATTGAATCTTGTCTGTTCCCACGACTATTTTCACGAAGCCCGTTACTCTTGTTTAGCACCTTTTTGATCTGTTGACTTTAGTCAACTCAAGTTCTATCCCAGAATGACTATGAATATTATCGTTATATTAAGGTGCATGCCGATCATTTGAGAATTTTAATTATTTTGTTCTAACTGAATATATATGTATATCTCGTGCCGAATTTCTAGTGATAAAGCTAATGTGCGCTATGCCGAATTCGAGTAATTCAAAAAACTGAATATTGTTAATAAATCAAATATATTCTACCTGACTTTGCAAAATATTCGAATATGCGATTAATATGGTAATGCATAAAATGTTTTTGTAATAACGATAACGATAACGATAAACGTAAAATCGTACAATTTTGTCACGTAAAAGGAATTTAAAAAAATTAAGCGTAAATGGTAATTTAAATAGTCCATGTAAATATTGAGCATTATAAATTTACTTACCCGAACAGAGAAAACACATGCTGGTAATGTCGTACGATCCTTTAAATTATATGAATAGACAATATGGTCAATTGTTTTCATATTATAAATTTTATTACAAAATCGTGCGATTTTAATCTCGTAAAAACTTAAAATAGCCCCATTTTTGCATTTATAAAGAATATTTTTCTTTATATAGTTTTAACATTAATCTTATTGTTATTAATATTAAAAATAAATTCTAAAAGAATTACAACCATCCTTTTTCTATCAATTCTAAATCAAAGAATTACAATGTGCATGTCTGAAATGCGCTTACTAAAAATACCCTTATTAAGTTCTTTTTATAGTATCTAGCACTGTATTTGTTACTTCCCCATTCCTGGTTTCGCTCAACTGCGTTGCGCAGCTACTTATTATATAATTTAACATAGAACTCATACATAGAATCTATAAAACGAAACTTAGTTTTGGGAAATACTAATCCGAAACCGAAACCTTTCGGAAAATAAATAGTCACAGTCGCAAGTATAATAGAATCTCTAAAATTTCAAGTCAGAGTTCGATAATTATCTATTAACTGCATGATTCTAATAATTTTGACCCATCTGTTCAATACAAGGACAAAATTTATAGCTTGTAAGCTCAGAGCTCTTTCAATTGTTTTAATATTAAACTAATTAGATCAATTCATTGAATCCATAATTCCACAATCTTATGCCTCGCTAGAAAGTTTATTTTTGATCGTACTGTTCCTGCGCAGCTATTTGAAATGTACACATCCATTCCAAATACGGAGCTTTTAATTTCTCATTGTTCATTTATTTAACGATGATCCGGTGAACAATCAACATTAATAAAGGTAAAATCACAAGCATATTCTCTCTTTTTTTTTTCTTTATAAAATAGCAAGATTTCAACCTACTCTTACCCTTAAATTATACAACTTTTTTAATAAACCAACCCATAATTGCGTTCACAAAGAATCATGAACCGAAATTTTATTTTTGCATTCATTTTATTGGCTACGCTTTCAATGGTCTATGCTCAACGATATAAAAGAAGAGATGATATTCCATCGATATGTTCTCCAGATGAAGTCCCATTAAAGTTAGCATTTTCGCCTAGTCCTATGAATGCCGGATCTTCTGTTGAATTTACTGTTGTCGGAGAATTAGCAACAGAAGTCCCAACAGGTTCCGTCATTAATGGTGCATTTTACAACAACGATCATACTTTCATAGATACCTTTGGTGTGGATTTTTGTGCTGCTAGTCAAGGAATTAATTGTCCAATTCCAGCTGGAGTCGAATTTCGTACGGTATTTAACATTACAGCATCAAAAGATTTACCTTCATTATTTGTAATGGGGGTTTCTATCATAAACCAAAGAAATGGAATTGTTATGGGCTGTATAGCTATTGCTGGTTCAAGATCTTGATTATAAAATTTTTTTATAAACCATTTTTTATAGATTTTATTTTTAAAAGAAAGTAAATTTGCTTTGTTATTTATAAAATTTGATATTATCGTTATTATTATGAGTGTTGCTAACTTTCACCCTAGGTGATGTTACCTCTTTATATGTAAAGCCAATCAGGTCGCAAATATCTCAAAATTTTACTATGAAAACTAGCTTTGAGCTATTAAGTAAAAGTTTTCAGCACGTAATTTTGGGTATATGTAACCTTTTAACCTAACCCTAATACGAATTCGAACCCTTACCCTAACCTCCAAAAGTTTATTTTATTTATTAATTTTAATAATTTTATAATATGGAATTAGTTATATTCTATAATTATTATTAGTATCCCTTAATCTGTAGGCTATTCCAAGCAAATTTGCCTGGAAAATTTATATAACAATACCTATAATTTATATTTTTATAAAATTAATATATTTAAATAAAAATTTTTTTGATAATATTTGAAAATAAAGATTATATAATTGTAGTATTTATTTTTATTTTATAAGAAAAAAAAT